TCCACATATTCAGCTAAACCTTGGAAAGCAGTTGTCACATTCATACGAAAGCCCTCGTGTTTCTGTAATAGTTCTTGTTGTTGTTGTATTACTTGATCAAAGTTATTTTCCATTTTAACATTCATCTTTTGTACCATCTCTGTCAAATGCTTAATACCTTCAGTCATTAAATCCTGTAATTCTTTACCAGAGGGCGGTGGAGGTGAAGAAGATGGCGGGGGTGGCGGGTGGGAAACCGGCTTAGAAGTTGGTTGAGGCGACTGAGAAGTCGGAGATGTAATTGACTTTAAAGTTGCGGGCGCCACTCTTCTCAAAGCCATATTGACAATTTGAAATTTCAATCAATATAAAAGTCTTTTAAACAACTAATCCACAATGAATAGTAGAATTGCTAAAAGTAGCAAAAGTTCCAGACCGGAAATACGAATCACTTTCACTTCTTCTTGCTAAAAAGTATCATTCCATCGCCATTTTAAATTCACTTTCACTCAATCCACCCCACATATAGGGAAGATCAGAATATCCAAAGTTAGAGTAAAATCCAAAATAGGAAACAAACTTCCAGGGTCGGTTTGTCTGCATATATAACTCACAGTTCAATTTAAGTTGCAGTGGTGGCGGCGGCTTCTAGCTTCGCCGAAGCGAAGGCGTCCTGGATCGCAGAGAATCCTCGGGGCTCCGGAGGAGTTCTAACCTACATCGTCCACATAGGACGACTTGGGAACTCAACTCCTACCCCGGGCGGCTCACCGATCCCCTTATGCCCGGGGGAAAGGTATCAAGCCGTTTGACAGCTGATGCTTGCTGTCAAAACGGCTTTTACACGAAAACAGGCGGGAGGCAGCTGTCGGCTGCGTCCGACGAGGTCGCCTGCACACCGGAAGTCCCCTAGTTATTGAAGTCTTGATTCCAGGATTTTTAGTGAAAATGATGTCCAATTCCGAGCTGAGGTTGCATAAGAATAATACTAGACACGCTGCTTGAAAAGGTGGCTGTTTATTAGAGAGCATTAAAACTGCACCCAAAGTAGCTACATTTTGGGGGTTTGAGGTTGGTAATATTTATAGAAAATATAAATATAAATGTGAGGTGTGTGAATGTGCCCTTTGAAATGTTTATTCTGGTGGAGATGCAGCTCTGGTGAACAGATCTTCCTCCCTTTTGTGTGTGTTGATTTTGGGGCACCACGTTTGTGTGTTCAGGAAAGATGTTTAAGCTGATCATTAAATTAGAATAATTAATCAATGGGATGGCTTGCCTTCAGAAGTTGTAGGTGCTCCATTACTGAAGATTTTAAAGAAGAGATTGGACAACCATTCATCTGAATTGCTATAGAATCTTCTGCTTGAACAGGAGGTTGGGCTAGAAGACCTCCAAGGTCCCTTCCAACTCTGTTATTCTGTTAAAATATATTGTATGGTCTTTGTTTACAACATAGTTTCTTCTGGTTTTGGCTGCTTCCAGATCATCTTGATGATTAAAAGGAGTTCACAAGGAGTGCAGGAATAATTATTTCTGAACTGAATTTTATTTCAACAAAGGGATTCCCAGAAGAGCTGGAGAAATCCCCCTTAGGATTCTCAGGTAAGAGGGCTTCTTAAACCCTGGACAGTCTCTGCTTTAAAATAGTGGCTGCACATAGTGAAAGGACTGATTCCATATATCTCAAGGCAACTGATTCTCCAGAACTTCTCTGTCTTAGTTCTAGCAGAAATTTAAGCCAATTATGAGCAGTTAATAATGGCCTGGTGCTTTTGCCAGAAGCTTTAAGAACATATATAACATAACTTTCTATTTAGCTTGCAAATCTCTTTCAGGGATTTGATTTAATTTCCCTTTACAAACAGTGGTTTCAAAAGAGGGGAGAAATGTTTCTTGAAATCTTCAGAGGCTCACTAAGAACCCACAAAATGAACCCCACCCTCCTTCAAGTACCAAACATCTCTCTCACTTCCCTGTTGCTGCATCTAAGAATTAGTTGCTAATGATGCAGTGCCAATATAAACTGAGGATGATCCATAAATGCCACAACAATCTTTTACATGTCTATTGTTTGCTAAAATAAAAACATGAAGAGGAATTTCAGGCAATCAAACGCAATCAAGAGGAATTGCATATAATCAAATTAAAGCATGGAGCAGAGAGAAAAATTTGCTTCAAGAGTATGATACATGCTATTACAATTCTATAATAGCAGGGTTTTTTTTTAAAAAAAGGCTCAAATCTTAATGCCACCTATTTTGCCCTGGAAACAGCTTTTTAATCAGATCAGATTCTCTGTCCATTGAACCACTGTGATGTCTTCCTGGAATAACAGCAGGTCTCAGGATCTTGAGCAAAGAGGGATCTTTCCAGTCATCCTATTATCTCCTTTTAGCAGACAATGCCACTTAAATTAGGGAGCGGGGTTTTTTTTTTCCTTTTAGGGTTTCCTCAAGGCAATCACAAGACAGCTTGGACTTTCTGGATCTCTGCTATAGTCACTCAGTAACAGCACAGGATTCACACAAGCCCTTTGAATAATAACACACTACCTTGCAATCCAGGCATACCAGGTCGGCCAGGTTCACCTTCTATTCCTTCATTGCCTTGATCCCCTTTGGGTCCTGGTGGCCCTAGAATGTGAAAAAAAAAGTATTGGTGTATGGCGTCATGTTATAACTGTCAAAGTTTAGCAAAGAAACCATCAGCTGTATTTGGGATTCTCAGGGGCAATCAGACTCATGAATCTCAGCTGAAGGTCCTACCAGCTAAGTACCAGGGCCTCTTATCATCTGCAATATTTTAATGGTTCTGTCATCTGGAGCAACCAGTCAGTTTCCTGTCCAAAGTTAATCCATTTCAATCACATTCTATCAAGTTTTAGTCCCAAAGCATTCTTCTCTTTTTAGAACTTGACCCTCTCCCTGATGATTTTGTCTACATTCCCATCCCTAGCCCCTGTGATCCTTTTTTTTTATGCTCTGGAATTTAGCCTGTGAAGTAAATAAATATACAGTGCAGAAGATGTCACATTTTAGGAGGCTAAAACAACACTTAGTTTAAGGCAGAGTGGGGAATGATGGCCCCTTTATGACTTGTGGACTTCAACTCCCAGAATTCCTGAGCCAGCATGCTGGCTCAGGAATTCTGGGAGTTGAAGTCCACAAGTCATAAAAGGGCCATTGTTCCCCAACCCTGGTTTAAGGGTCAGAATCATATATTCAGAAATATATATTTAGCAGCCTGAGGCAGGGGAGGGATAAGGTGCAGGGTCTAGTCATTCAGGGAAACAAGAAGAGGGTGGGAAACTCCAAGAACAGCAGACCAAATCTGACAGACTGATCTCTGTATTCCAATAGCACCATGGAGCAGGCAGTACTAGTCATCTAATTCACAGGGCCAATCATTTTGCTCCATGACATGGACAATCCTCAGCCAGAGCAACTTATTTCTGGTGTCAAGATACTGTCTAAGTTCCTGCTTGTATTTAAGCATTCATTCTCTTTTGCTTTCTCTTTTTGTAGCATTTCTACCCTGCCACAATCTAGGCTAGTCACAGTAATGAAAACACGAAAAGCTAAACCAATATAAAACCATAACATCATCAATCTATAGAGCATAATCAGTGTAAAAGTTTGACATCAGAGTTCTCAGAACACCATAGATAGCATTACCACTCTTGTCAGCAACGGAAAAGAATGGTTTGTTACCAGATTCTTAAATGACAGAAAAGAGAGGGATCTTACTCTTTCATTCCAAAGAGTTATGACAGCCATGGAAAAGTCTTGTTTCTGTGTTCCTGTTTCAACACCATCTGGGGAGGTGGAATTAGAAGCATACTCTCCCAATCAGAGTGCACAAAATAGGAAAATTTCACTCAGAGCAGAGATTTCTACAAGAACTGTAAATCTGAGCCCTAGAAGGTTTTATAGATAGTCCTTAACTTACAATCACAGTTGGGACTGGAACCTCCACTGCTAAGCAATGAGGTCATTAAGTGAATTGCACCCAATGTTATGACCTTTTTTGCTGTGTTAAGCAAATTCATCTTTGGGCATTGACTTCGCTTATTGGAAGCTAGCTGGGAAGGTTGCAAATGGCAATCATGTGACATAGCAACTGTCAAAAATACATGCCAGTTGGCAAGCACCCTAATTTTTATCATGTGACCTCAGGGATGCTACAATAGTCATAAGTTCACGGATGAGTCAAAAGTCACATTTTCAAACTTATCGTACTTTCAAACGGTCATTAAATGAATGGTTGTAAATTGAGAAGTACCTATATAGGTAATGTCTAGCATGTTGACAGGTATCTGGAAATTTACTGGAAACCAATGCAGCTCTTAAAGAATAGGTGTCATTCTGGTAAACAGTCTGACCCACTATCTGTTTGTAGTTTCTAAATCATATTCATAGGCAGCTCCAAGTAGAGTACTTACCATTATCCTGTAAACCAGGGGTAGGCAACCTTGGCTCTTTTATGACTCGTGGACTTCAACTCCCAGAATTCCTGAGCCAGCCATGAAGTCCACGAGTCATAAAAGAGCCAAGGTTGCCTACCCCTGCTGTAAACCATCAGCAAGATGAGCACAACTGAGTGATTGTTGTGAGGAAATATGCATTTAGTGCATTTAAAATGATAGCCAGCTTTCTGTAGCTCTACTGAATTCATCTTTCTGAAACCTACTCCTCTTTGAAATAGGAAGCTAGCAAATGGGGAAATGTTATGATGGGATTGTTCTCCACTAAAAAACAGGGTCACAATCTACGTCCAGAACAGTCAATACAGAGAAAAGGCAATAGCACTTAGACTTCTATACTGCTTCACAGTGCTTTACAGCCCTCTCTGAGGGGTTTACAGAGTCAGAATATTGTCCCCAACAATCTGGGTCCTCGTTTTACCAACCTCGGAAGGATGGAAGGCTCAGTCAACCTTGAGCCGCTCAGGATTGAACTCCTGGCTATGGGCAGAGTTAGCTTGCAATATTGCATTCTAACCACTGAGCCACCATCACTACCATTTATCTATGGTAGTTATGTCCTTTCTTTTTACAATACTGTTCATCATATATTAGGAGTGCGCCACAGTTTGGGGTTCTTTCCATATCAAAATAATGAAAAAATATGCCATTAAGGTTTGGCAATCACACTGTCAGCCAAAGGCTGCAGAAGAGCAATTTGTTACCACATAGAGCTCTAGGGCTGCAATTGGCCACTCTTGCTGTAAACCAATTTAAACAGGGCCATCTGTTAAATGATTGTTGTTGTTGATTTTAACAAAGCACAGGATGTGGAACTTGGATTAGGGTTTTGGTGTGAGGGGAAAGGATTAACAGTTTTTGTCGTGCTATTTACATTATGTAAACTCATTTGCCCAACTTGCTGTTTGCCTAGATGATTGATTGACAGACAAACAGCAAAATTTCAGGTTCTACCTCTGTGTTTTGATACAAAGAAACAATGCACTTTCTTGGGAAATATAAAAACTGTCAGTTTCAACAAGATCACTGAAAAGTTGACTTGCTCAAAAGCAAACAAAACAAGAAAAACAACAGGACTCAATAGCTGTTTACTATGCATGTGTGTGATATCTCCTATATGTATTCAATTTTTAAAAAATTGAATGGGAATTGATAAAATAGAATGGTTTTTTACAATGTAGTATCCACCAGGAATCGTAGATAACAGTCAAATTGTTAGGGATTCTAAATATTGTAGTCTAGCATACTAAGAGGGTGAAAATATATGGAAAGTTCAAGAGGAGATTTTAAGAATGCTTGAAAATTTTAATTCTTTATGACTAATGATTAAAATGATTTGTTAGCTCCTGGACTATTGTGAAATTTGTAATGTAATTTTCCTTCCAATTCTGTGCTTCTCTAGATTTTTAGGTGCAGTTTTCACTTTCAAAATTTTACCAAAACTTTTTTAAAAGCCATATTTGAAGAAAAAATAATCCATAAATGAATGATTTGGGTGAAATACATTTATAAAAACATACTGTGACAGGAAATCCATTTTGATATATATTTGTGTATTTTTGTGCATTTCAAAATATTGCACTGTAGTCTGGAAATTAGATTAAGTGGATTTATGGGTAACATGTGTGAAATTGACACCATCTGGAAATAGCCCTAAAAATATGATGGAGACAGAATGAATGATCATGTGTGAAGCTGACAGAATGATTTATCCCTAAGCAATTAATGCCAATTCAAAACCCAAAGTCAACTTCTTGGTCAAAATCATATTATGCAACATTGGCCATTGGGAAGAAAGTGAGGGGAAAACGTATTACACATAACAAACAGACCATTTGATGGATTTAACTGTTCAATCAAATTGCTAGTATTTCAAGCATAACTTAATTTAGAATTTGATCAGCATCTGAATCCATGGACCAGGACAACAATACTAGAACTATTTTGTCAAATATCCATAATTACATTTTGTTCTAGAAAAAAAGACCAAACACATGAAGTCTTGCCACTAGGTGGCAAAGTTCCCGAGAGCATGAAGCTAGTTGCAAAGGAAGCATTTCTCCCTTTAATTTTTCTTGTAAACTGAAACAGAATTTCTCTGTTCAGAACCACTGGTCATATAGGCAATATGGAGGGGGGGGGAATCTCTTTGTCACATAATAATGTCACAATCAGAAATGATTGGGAACAATACTTTTAATATGAATATATTTTCTTGATGGCACCTCATAGCTAATTATCAGCTACCCAATGATGTCAAAAATCCAAACAAGAATTTTAAAAAATGCTTTTTGTCCTCACATTGACTTATTCAGTGTTCTCACCTTATTTTCCCTTGTCCCTGATTTTAAGAAATGTTGCTCCCATAGTTACAAGATATTGATTGATTAATGTATACAACGTATATGTGGCCAACTACCAGTAACTCTGGAAGCCTTAAAATTAAAAGTTCAAAAATTACAAAACATAAAAAAGAATCATGAGCAGTCCCAGAAACAATATACAACCAAAGAAAATGCAAACACAGGGGTAAATTTTCATTCTGCCCCCAAACATGGGAGAATGGCTAGAACAGGGGTGTCAAACTGGTGGCCCGCCCGCAGGCCGGATGCGTCTTGCTCAGGCTATGCCCACCCCAGTTCTGCAAAGACAAAAAATGTCACGATACGTCAAGATACTTGATGTGATGCAATCGAGTTTGACACCCGTGGGCTAGAATGTTACCAGGGGAGAGCCATATGGATCTCGGGAGGGGGGATATAATTCCAGATTAAGTTAATTAATAATACATATATTATGCAGAGGATGAGACTTCACTTTAAACCTCTATGATATGGTCCATGATTAACTTGGAATGGTCAAAACATATTTTATTATAAAAAATGTATATGCTACATTTCTAATGTGCTGGAGCTTAGCAACAGCAATAGCACATAGACTTATGTACTGCTCCATAGTACTTTACAGCACTCTCTGAGTGGTTTAAGAGTCAGCATTTTGTCCCTAACAATCTGGATCCTCATTGTATTGATCTCAGAAGGATGGAAGGCTGAATCAACCTTAAGTGGTCAGCATCAAACTCCTGGCAGTCAGCAGAGTTAGCCTACAATACTGCATTCTAATCAGTACACCACCATGGCTCATGTATTATGTACAAATATTAGCTGAATGCATTCTATGTAGTTTTACTATTATGTTCTAAGCTACATATGCATATAGCTACTAAGTTCTCACAGGTTCCAAGTGGGCTTACAGAATGCCACAATAAAGTTAAAGACATCCAACACATAAACACCACCAATGTATCATGACAGTACCAACCAAATAGGGCAGGCTAAATCTCCACATTCCCAAAGGCATTCCTAAAGGTTGAGGTCTTTGTGGCCCTTCAGAAGCCCATTCAACTAGAATACGACAAAATAATGAGAAATAGCTGTTCCAAAGAAGGGAGCCATCACTGAGAAGACTCACCCACATGATCCCTATAGATGACATCTCTTCAAATAAGAGACCCTCAGGAAGCCCATTCTTTCTAATCTCACTGGGCAGGCAGATTCTATCCAGAGAAGATGGTCACATAGGTATTTAGGTCTTGAGTCATGAAGTGCCCTCAATATGACAACTAGCACCTTGAATTACACCTGAATCCAAGAGGCAGTTACATTTGCTCAACTCCTTACCTCGTATCACTGAGATATCCTTCAAAGCAATGGAGTGCTCCCAATCCTTGAGCCTCAGATCCTCAGTCACATTGTTCAGAATGGCCAGCTCATGTTTGAGCTGCTGTTCCATGGCGATGTGGACAAAGCGCATCTGCCGAGCATCTTCTGAGGCATTGCTGATGAGGACTTGCAGGTCCTGGATACGGGTATGGTGGATTCCCACGTCATAAGACAGAGTCCGGTTCATGCTACCCACCTGCCCACCTACCTCTGTCAGTTGGTCATTCAAGCTCTCCACTTGAGACGCCAGCTTAGAGAG